CCTGGAATGGAAGGGCACTTGCTTTTTGATAAGGCAGTTACAAAATGGAAAACAAACCCACACCCTGAAAACATTCTGATGGGCATAATGGACAGCAGACGGTAAAACAGGGGTCCTGTACGGCCCTCCGTCATTGGCGAAGATGCGTTCGTGGAGCGAGAGCAACCGGAGTGTTTGTGGTTTAAGACGCAAGCCAGATGAAGTAACTGATTGTAGACATTTCTACCTTAAGAAGTCCCACCTTGCCCCAGACTAGACTCCATCTCGAAACATCAGATCAACTTTACCCTTCCTCACCTTGAATTTGTCTGTAATAAAATGAAGGGACTAAAAAGGCACCCCCAAACACTATGCTTTCCAGGCCATGACCTTGAGTTTATTTGTCCTTCAGTTCAACTGCCTAGCCCAGTAACAGGCTGGGAGGCTGGGAATCACAGGGCCTCAGAGCTGTGTCTGTCCGCATCAGGACTAACTGAGTGACACAACCCCAGAGGGCCTCGTGGAAGGCAGAAGTCTGAGCAACAGATCACAGAGCAAGCCCATTTCATGAGAACTTAAATTCTAGGACAACACTTCATCTCCTACCAGGGCTTCCGAATGAGTCTTGCATCACAAGCTAGATCTGTTCTCCGCTTACATTCATTCTGTGAAACTCAACGGACTGCTTCCTGATCACTTCACACAACCTGGAGCGCGGCAGGCTGGCAAGGTCTGAAGAGTCTGAAGGCAGTTACTTTAGACAGGATTTGAGTCCCGTACAAGGCAGAAAGTGAGCAGAGCTCTGGACAGCTCAGCAGGATGAGATATTAGTCCAGACAGTGCCTGGGACTCAGGCAAGTCGTCCTGAATTTTTGTCTCCTGTCTTTAAAATGGGTGATGGCACGACAGCAACCTTAAAGGACTTTCCAGCTTGAAAATATGACCCATCTGGGACATGGAGACATGTAGTGACCCCCTCCCTCAAGGTACCCGAAGCTTTGCTCAATTAAAACCACGTGTGAAGTGCTTGCAGACACTTTAAGGTACAAGCCCTGAGCAGCCAAGGAACCTTGACACTCCGCAGGGGGCAATGTTTTAGTCTTCTAGCTAAATGCTTCCTAAGTGATATGCACATCCGTTTTTGTGGGGCAAGCATGGAACCAGGGCCTCATCCCTTCTTAGGTCCTTTTTTATCAGGCTGAGGGCATCCCCTCCCTCCCTTGACCCATCAGCTTCAGTGCAAACGAGTGAGCATAACCAGGCTGATGGGCTTTCCGCAACATCCTTCAACAAGGAACTAAATGGACTAGTACCGAGGGGGAAGGACAGTCAGCACACCAAAGTGTCCATCTTCCAGCGGCTCCTTTCCAAAAGGCGAGTGCTATGCCGTGGGATAGTGCCAGCAACTGGGTCCTTGGCCAAGATGAACTGGTTCCACATGGCCCCAACTGGGGAGTGACTAAGATGGAAGTTACAGAGAACATAGAAAAGCCAGAGGTTTACAAAGATAGAGCAGGCTTCCCCAGGAGGTAGTGAGTTCCCTGTTCTCAGAGGTGTTTAAGCCCAGACTGCTCAAAACCTTGGTGGGACAGTTGTAGGCAGAATGTCAGCACCTGTGGGGAGACCAGACTGATGACTTAAAGACCCTTTCCCAACTTCTGGATCTCACCATGATAATGACTGAGAGCCTTTAGGGGACTTCCGTGAAGCAACTTCGCTGGGATCCATGGTCTGGACAGCCTATTTCAACAGACAAAGCCCCCCTGAGGAAGTCCCCTCTCCTACTTTCTCCCTTGTCTACCAGGCAGTTGTCCTGCGGGGTATTAACCAAGAAGTTCCCACAAAATAAACAGCTGAAATGCCAAGGTTAGAGGCGACATTCCAGTTGCAGACAATTATTAATATCTGTTCCCTGGAAGGCTAGCAGTGAATATTTAGCTGTGACAGAACATCTAGCAACTTGGCGGCGCTAACACATAAGTGAAATTCCTTGTCATCTTACAACGCCAATCTTGAAGCCTTTGGTTTCAATCTTTCATGGGATTCAGCTACGATCTTTTTCACATGCTGTTGCCAACCTAAGAGTGTGTTTGTTGAAATAAGAAGTCTGTCCATTTGTTTTTTAAAACCCTAAGTCAGAGCGACATGAGCGGCAGGATACTGACACGTGCACGTGACAACCTTCAGCGCATCTGAAAGGCCCACAGCAGGCTGGACTGAGGCAGGCACCGTACTCTTTAGGACGCCGCCGCCAGCTCTGGATTTCCCATTCCAGTTTTGCCCAGGAGCACCAAGAAGAGAGAAGGCAATGTTGCAACGTTACAGGTGGAGAGAAGCACAAGAGTCCTTGGCAGGTGCACAAAACGGAGGCAGCCAAGATGAACACTGCTTTCCCCAAACCCCACGGCTTCAGAGGCCCAGCTGTTTCTCACAGGCAGAGGCCTCCCGCGCACACAGCAAGCCACGGGACACTGCAGAAGAGGCTAAGGCAAGTGGCGGCGTGGTGCGATGAAAGAAGAGATTTCTGCACACGTGAGAAACCTAAGTTCAGAGAGCTTTGTCTTTTCTCTCACCTGACATGTTTTCAAGGGGCGGAAAGACACCCACAACCTCCATTTCCTAAAGCCCCTCTTTCGAGGAGAAGCGGCACAGCGCCAAGCTGAAGGTGTGCACCTCCGCGGGCTTCCCACTGGACCAAGAGCGCTCTTACAGACGTGAGCAGATGGACCCTAATCCCCAGCTTCTTGTACAGAAGTGTCCCGCTCTCTCTCAGAGAGCAAACGGATCTACTGTCCAAGAGAGAGTGGCATGGCCTACACATCTGCAATTTCTGCTTCAACATCAGAAAGGTACACTTTCTCGAGGCGCCTGAGTGGCTCAGTCAGTTGAGCGTCTGACTTTGGCTCAGGTCATGATCTCACGGTTCGTGGGTTCGAGCCCTGCGTTGGGCTGTGTGCTCACAGCTAGCTAAGAGCCTGGAGCCTGCTTTGGATTCTGTGTCTCCCTCTATCTCTGACCCTCCCCTGCTCACACCGTATCTCTCTCTCTCTCAGAAATAAAAATAGTAAAAAATAAAAACATAAAAGGTAAACTTTCTCAGTAAGAGATGGACCTTTCCAGACAGCGGGTTACCAATGCCTTAAATTGTAGCTGCCATCCGGCCCCCCAAATTGCAGCCTAATGAGAAGACCCACCCCTTGACAAAAAGGGGCTTGGTGTTTGATGCCTCCAAAGCTTTGCTGACTCAGCCTCTCTGGAAAAAAAACCTATATAAAGCCACAGAACCTTTGAGCCTTCTTGATGTCCACACACCAACATCCTTTAGCTACACGCAGTGCGACAGTTTCTATACACTGAATCTGAATGACTAAAAACACTCAGAGAGCACCTTGACGTGCCATCCATAGCTGGGTGTATTAAAATAAGATCCCCACATAGTCTAGAGTATGTTCTATGTACATTCATTTACACATATTTAAAAAGACTGCAATCTGCTAGACATGCATTGTGAACACTGGTGAAAGTTTGCTGTGATGAACACACTGCATTTTAGGGAAAGGGTAGACTGTTCCCAGTCCACAGAGAGCATGACCCTTTGCCCCACAAGAGACCTGCAGACAGTGCACTGCCTTCCTTAGTGGGGTTTTGTTCTGACTTCTCTGTGCTGATGCCCAGAGTAAGCCATCTATTGGAAATTAAAACTCTTTGCTGGGCCAGGCCATCCACGGCTCCTTTTATAATTTAAGGCTTAAGAAAGAACTCACAATTAAAACTGAGTAAGAGAATGATACTTTTGACCCCAGTATGTGTCAAGATGGTCAGAAATTAGAATCTAAGTCTTTGTCTTCTTTTTTTCTCCCAGGCCCTATTCACATCCTTTGTCCCCTAATACACTGATTAGAAACTTTTGCAAAAGCACATTTTTGGATATAAAGCTTTGCTTTCAAAGGAGACTTTGGCTCTGATATAAGAAGATAGAGGAATCTGAGTTTCTGAACATTAAAAAAAAATCAGTTAATTATTCGTACTTAAAAAAAATAATTTTAGCAATCCTTCCCCTTAAAAGGGAGGCAAACCACTCAGAAAAATGAACAATGGCACTGACCTTTGTTAACAGCTCAAACTCATGATTTGCTGGCGACCCCGAGCCCGGGGAGTCAAGGCCAGTTGGGTTTTTTATCCCAGAACTGGACTTCTGAGCAAGAATCACGTGATCCTTGGCAGCTTCCTTGGTGCTTGTGAGCTAAGGATTAGTACTTCTGAAAACACAAGCCCCAGATCACTGAATACCTCCATCTGTCAAAGCATGTGGCCCAGAGTGAGCGCAGTCATCATTCATAACTCCTCCCCAGAAAGTAAAGCACAGATGGGGTACCAGAGGCTGCATCTCCTGTGAGGGTCTCTGCATCAGTGTTTCCGGAACCTCCACGAATGTGGCTTGAGCACATGCAACTGCCCTCAACTCCTCTCTTGATGAGAAACCTCCAGTTGGTGCATCAGGACTTCCTCTGTCCTCTGGAAGGTAAGCGGTGAGCAACAGAGATGGCAGGGGTCTCAGTAACTAGAGGTGTGAAGCAGACATTACGAGGCCCGCAATGTCAGTGACAGTACTATCAGCCAACAAATACTGCTCGAGTGCCTGCTGTGTGCAAGGCACAGGGTCAGCGAGGGGGACCGCTGTCAGACTGATGTGCTGATAAACGACAAAGCCTGCGATGAAGATGAAGCGGGGGCGTGTCTTTCCCCGGCAGACCTGGGTCTATGCTCGTCCAGTTAGCTGTGCCTCACTGTTACCCCAGCACCGCGTCCCACACAAGGCAGAGTGGTGTTACAAGGTGAGTACCGAAATATTCTTCATCCCGCGTTTCCAGCAGAATTGACTTAATGCTTTGCTGAATGCTACAATATATAATTTCTCAATCTCTCTATGGTCTTGTTTTTTCAGTCCAACAGTTGCCTTAAAAGAAAGTCTTTGTATAACATGCTGAATCACGAGAATATAATTCTCCTGACTAAAAAGATTTACAGTGTTCATCATTCAAACTTCTTTATTTACAATAAAATTTAACAGTCTTTATAGGCCTAAACGTGGCAGATATCACCTGTGCATTAAGCATCATACTTCATTCCTTGATGCGCGTCATCCTCATTCAAGCTGCTTGCCGCCCTCTGATTTCTGGTCCAGTCTACTCTTGTTACTCTTCACCATGTAGATGAAGTAGGCGAGGGTCTCTTTTTCATTCACAGGTATGTTCCTGAAGTGTCGGCTGACAGTCTACATGGAGGAAAAGCCAGAGTCTGTTAAAGCATGCATAAATCAGGGCCACAAATTCTGAATTGCACAAAAGAGGGAGTAGGAATTTGCTTCCAGAGCCGGGAGGGGATTATGATCACTGCAGAACTTTCTGCAGTCTGTGGGGCTCAGAATGCCGTTCTTCTCTGGGGGTTAGGGGGATTTGGCTTCTAGGCCTCCAAAAGTAGCCCTTTAACCCACAACATTCCTGAAGTGCGGTTCTATTTCAGTGGCAGCCAAATGTCCATCATGGCCACGACTCAAGGCCATCCCCATGGAGGAATACGTTGGGACTGCTCTGCTTGGCCAGCTGCTACCCTTTCTAGCTCCTAGGCCCTGGGACTGGGCAGAAAAGTGTTTCAAAAATTGTGTCCAATGAGGGGCACCTGGGTGGCTCAGTCAGTTGAGCATCCAACTCTTGATCTCAGCTCAGGTCATGACCTCACGATTCTTGAGTTCAAGTCCTGCATCGGGCTCTCTGAGGACAGTGTGGAGCCTGCTTGGGATTCCCTCTCTCCCTCTCTCTTTGCCCCTCCTCCGCTCCTGTGCATGCAGGTGCTCTCTCTCAAAATAAATAAGAATAAAATAAAATTGTGTCAAATGAATAGCCAATTGTTCAGATATAAGTGTTTGAGCCAAGACGTCATCTAAATAGAACATAACTGCCTCTTGAAACACACATCACATTTGAAGAATAATTTGTCATTCACTAGACACTCATTCACTAGACGTTCCAAAATAAATTTGGCTTTGTTTTACAAGTTCTGAGAATGCAGGTCTCCTCTTGCCCCATCTCATCCCATCCTTTTCACCAGGGTGAATGCTGGCATATGGGTAACATTACCTTAAAGTGGGAAAGGCTTTTGTACTCCTATGTTCTACCTAGATGCTCATGAAGAAGTTGAAAGTAAAAATGATAGATTAGCGAGAAACCCCTAAAGGAAAAGACCAAAAACCCATGGAGCTGTGAACCTTTTAAGGGAATTTCTGAATGGATGGAGAAGCCAGGACAGATTTGAATAAGTCAGAGAACAGGCACTAAAGAGTGGTCGTCTCTGGATGGTAAGGTTATGTTTTTCTTTTTTTCATTTTCCTAATTTTCTACAATGGGCAGAAAAGCACACTAAGAAAAGAGCGATGAGAAGTCCTCACACAAATGCTAATAGGACAGAATATCAAGCCAGGCTGGCAATATTTTAAAACAATGGACCAGAAACCATTTACCCCACCTCCAAATTGTATTCAGAGCTCAGGATAGGAGAACAATTTCTTGGGTTCCATTCATTATGATAAATACTTCCATCACCAGCATCAGAGTAGAAGAAATCAAAGGAAAAAAAAAACTAAAGGAAAAAAAATAGCTCCTGTAGAACAGGATGATTAATCTGACACACCTGATGTGCAAAAAGGACCATATCTATAAAGAATCCTACAGAACAAGAGTCAAACAAATGAACAAACAAAAAAGCATACTCAGGACTTAGGATCAGGAGTCCTGATATTCCAGGATCAATTCTGCTACGAACTTGCTGTGTGATTTTAAGTTAAGTCCTTTCCTCTCCCTGTACCATGGTTTCTTTGATAGAAATTGGGTTTTTCTAGGACTAAAGCTATGGGATTCTAGAGTGTACAAAAGAGGGACTAGGAAGTTGCTAGAGACCTGCGGAGGGAATTATGATCAACAGACACACACATAGCAGTCGGGAGAACCAAGGACACCGACAGAAGCACGCTGCTGGCTCTCTCTTTTTACAGCGCAATTTGTCCACCTACTTCTGCTAACTGGGCCTTATTGAAGCCTGGTCTGGTCTGCAACTTGTAGTGTCGTTTATAACGCCGTAGAGTGTTCACCTGCAGCTGGAACAGGTCAACCTGGAGAGAAGAGAAGAAACACATTATCCATCACCTGACTAGGCACTGCTCACCAAGAGTGCACTATGTGCCCAGCACTACACTAGGAGGGCAGGGGTGAAGAGGACTACAGAGACGTCTTAGAAATGATCCACTGAGGACTGATAACTGGCTGGGAGGACAAAAAACAAAAAAAACCAAAAACAGTGGAAACAGCTCTGGCTGGGCAGGGGTGGTCTCAGGGGCTCATGGAGGCAGTGAAACTGAAGCAAAGGAGAGCAGGGTTTAGAAAGATGCTGAGGATGGGGACAGAGTAGGGAATGAGAGAGAGGACCATGAGCACAGAGTCATGAGAGGACGAGATGGACTTGGGGGTCACAGGCATTCGTGATGGGTTGAGAAGGTGGGACTGGAGGGTAGCATGTCTTGAAAAGCAGAAGGAGCTGCCACAGGTAGTGGAGGGTGATGTTCCCAGAAGATGGATCTAGTGGGGGCTCGCAGGAAAGACTGATGGGGGTGTGGGGGGCAGTGCTGTAGCGGTCATCAGAAATGAGATACTCAAGTTGAGCTTTGGAGGCTGGTGACACTAGAGGGGGACACCAAGCATGGACAGAAAGGCAAACCCAGACAGGTATCCCAGAGGAAGACAGGCCACAGCTCAGCAGCAGACTGGACGGAGGGGTGTGAAGGACAGTGGGAAGCAGTGTTCTCAGAGTTCTCCCCTACGCTGAGCCTTCGGGTATCAGAGCCCCCAACAGCTCTCCAGAGAAAACTGAAAAGCTACTGTAGCAAATGTACAAATCAGCAGGTTAGGTTGGGGTCTCTGCAGACAACTGGATAACACAGGGAAAGGACCCCCCCCTTTTTTTTTTGTCTAACACAGGAAGAGAGGAAAGCTTCACAGTCATGAAATATTGAAGGCCCAGAAAGTTGGGCTGCTTTTACCTGCCTCTAAAAGAGATGTTCTTGCTTCGGGCAGGTGGAGAGCACTTAAAAACAAAATGAATGATCAATATGAGGGACCAAAGTCCTTCATTCTTTTCAAAACATTCCTCAAACCTTTTTTTTTTTTTGTAAAAAGCATTGAAATTGAATACATCCATTTCTTTATGAAATAATAATACTAACGCTAAAGGTGGCAGAAAAATACTGTAAACCAATGCTAGAAAAAGGGACATGGGGAGGGGCAGAGGAAAGGACCATATTTTCAAAGGGTTTCTCCACATCTGCAGACAAAGGTCCGCCTACTCTTTCTATTCCTACGCAGTCATTTCCACTCTGAGTGCTAACAGGCAGTTGCCTTATGAAATATTCATGTGTCAGATATTCAGTGTACATTACCAATGGTTCTTCATCTGCTGAGTCTTAAGTGAAAACAACTTAGATAGAAAGAAAAGCCAATACTCCTTCCTGCGGGCTTGCTCAGTAAGCACTGGCACCGTGAAGGTTTGAGAAGCCTCGGCCTCATCGTCCAGTGCAGTGTTTCTCCACAAGGGCTGGTTCTGCCCCCAGAGGACATCTGCTAATGTCTGAAGACGGTTTTTGATGGTCACTACTATGGTGACTGGCATCTAATGGGCAGAATCTGGGGATGTGGCTAAACATCCAACGAGGCACAGGACAGCCCTGACAAAAAAGACTGATCTGGCCTCCAGCGTCAGCAGTGCCAAGTTGAGAAACTTATAGCCGACTTTGGAATGGCTCCTTGGAACAAGCCTGGACCAAGGATCAGAGCGACCGGAATCAGAGCTGGTATGAATTGACAATGTCCACCTTCATTCTGCACACTAGAAAACAGGGCAAGTGACTTCCCTCAATCCATACAAGCTCAGTCTCCAACTCTGAAGGCAACAGCAACAACAAAAAAACTGAAAAAAAAAAAAAAAAAAACCTTGACATTGTGGTTGTATTTAAGAATTTATCAGGGGTCTCTTAAAGAAAGGCAGGATGGCCTACTGGAAAGGACACTGGACTGGAGCCCCTTAACTACACGTGTGCCTTTGGGTCTCTGTGCCTGTCTGTAAAATGATGGGGGAGTTAGACCTGTTGATTTCTAAGTTTTCAGCTCTCAGGTTTTATATTACCATAACTCCATCTCTGATTCACTTTTCAAATAAACCACAGCAAAACAAAGGGGACTAAAATTATTTCTGAATACAAACAGTGGACCAGGCCAGAGATAAGGATCACATTAGAATCCATTCTCCCAGCTTTCTCAAGCTGATCCTTTTTGACCTTTACCTCAGGAATGTCAGTGTCGTGCTCAGGAGAGTCTCCGCCGTCGTCACTTGTTTTCCTCTTCCTTTTATTTCGTACACTCTGGATGAAATTTTTGTGGAAGTCGCAGATATACAGGTGCCTTACCTGATGGGAAGCAAATTAAAGTGAGAGTTGCTGATTCCATGGAAACAGCAACAGGTATCTGCCAAATTATGGGGTTCTCGCCATTGTAAGGCACTGAAGAGACAGAAGGAAGAATAAGACGTAGGCCCTAATTTCTAGAGGTTTTCGGTTGCGTTGCAGAAGAAAAGACCCACAAAGAGACATGAACACTACTATCACACCGGGCAGCAGATTATAAACTAAGTCCTCGCTGAAGGCTAGAGACAGCAAATGGTACGGATTCAGCCAAGGAAGACATGCCTGTGGCTGGAACAGTCAGTGTAGAGGTCCCTGACTAAAAGGGAGGATTTAGAGGTAGATAGGAAGCATTCCAGAAGGGAAGAACCAAGGGTTAGAGTCTCAAACACGGCTGACAAGAAGGTGTGAGGGAGGAGGCCCAGGGTAGGCACTGTGAGTGAGGTGGACGTAACCGCCCACACAGGAGCACAATGAGAATTTGGGGGTGGGGCTAGTAAGAGAACAGCTTAGACTTTCCTTAAGACAGAGTCCCCCAAGTTTTTATTTTTAATTAAAAAAAATTTTTTTTAATGTTTATTTATTTTCAAGAGACAGAGAGACAGAGTGCGAGTGGGGGTGGGGGGAGGAGAGAGAGAGAGAGAGAGAGAGAGAGAGAGAG